CTCTAGTACTAGAATTTTTAGATATCCTACTCCCTGATTGCCAAAAACACGGTTGTTTGCGATATTTGAGGTAATAGGGCATTATTTTCGTTTGTTGCAATTCGATATTTCTTTCTTGAGATATACTAGTTTTAATAGTACTTCGGTATTACGTCGTCAGCATGAGTCATCATAGCATGTGTAGAGGCTATTCAATCGTTATGATCGAAAACGTTTTGTGTATTGATCTTTTGCTTTTGATTAAAAAAAATTTTGTGCTTCTAGTTTGGTAGAACGCTTTTTTTCCAAGTTTTTGGTGCTTTCTGAAAATCAAAAGTTGGCAACACTGACGGAAACGCAGCATTGACAGTTCCTTCATTTCTTTACCCAACTTCACTTTCAAAGCGCTGTTGAAGTCCGATTTTTGCACTGCTCAGCGTTACCGCCATGTTATTTTATTTGCTTCATACAAGTTAAGGTAGGATAGAACTTAAGCTATAAACGTGTTGCCAAAAGTACTATAGCATGACTCATATATTGTCACAATCAAACTTTTAAATATGTAGGTGGATTATCAAGTTAATACTTTAACCATGTACTCGATACCCAACTAAGTACTTGCGCGAAGGATTCGAGTACAAAATGTACTCAGTACTTGAAGAATGTGTCGAGTATTTACTCATAGCCCAGCTAGAACAGTATGGCTTATATAATCCCTTATATGTGCCAAATCACTAAGAAAAGTATCCCTTATGAATTTGAAAACTTTCCATTATATTGTACAGTCCAAATGGAGAAACCTAAGGGATAAATTCGTGTACGTGTGATCTTTTGTACCGCTCTTTTATATGGGCTTCTAGTATTGATGTATTCTATATCGCTCTCACTCGAACACCGAATAGCTAAGGGATATATAAGGCATTGTCTATGCCATTAAATAAGGGATGTATAAGGTATCACTTGAGGAATAATATCAGGAATTAATTGAGGAATTATATAAGGGTTATATACGCAATTATATAACGGATTATTTGAGGAATTATATAAAGAATTATGTAAGGGATTATTTGAGGAATTATACATTACCCAAGTATATATTCAAATTCGTATCGTACAGTAAGCATTGAGTACTTTTTTTATATGTCGGCCGCTGTGGTGTAGTGGTAAGCAGTGCGCGCTTTCACTCATCAGCACCTGGGTTCAAGCCCTGGTCAAAGCAACATCGCAAAATATATAGAAAAAGGTTTTTTCTTAACAGCGGTCGTCACTCGGCAGGCAATGGCAAACCTCCGAGTGTATTTCTGCCATGAAAAACAGCTTCTCATAAAAATACAATCGCCGTTCGGAGTCGGCGTAAAACTGTAAGACCCTCCGCTTTGTGTGACAACATCAAGGCGCGCACCACAAGTCGGAGGAGAAGCTCGGCCAAACACTAACATGCCCAGCAAAAAACACGATTACCACAGAAACGTAAGTGGAAACGAGCTAGGCGATGGGAATCGCTTACCCTTTCGCTTCAAGAAGGCCTTATTTTAACATAGGCATGTCATTGGCGGTAAGCCTTTACCCGCAGCATTTACTTAAAACGAAGAGAGAACGCATGGATAAACAGAATCCAGAAAAGCGAACAAAGAATGCCTTACAGAGAAACTAATGTAGAATGCCTAGATAAGTGCATACTTAGTTATATTAAATTGAAATCAGAAAATGTCTTAAAAGATTAAAATTAATTAAAATTTTTATAAATCAGCTCAGTTGTATTTTCTTAAAAATCGGTATGTACATACATGCATATTTAATAAAGCTTAAAATCGTACTTCCTCACTCTTGTACTTCACTTCATTGACTGACTTCAACTTCGCTGCAAATTGAACAAAGCAAAACATGATTTTTATGCGAGACAAATTTCCACAGAAAGTAACGGTAGAAAAAGAATTTTTGGATATTCATTCTATTTTTCAGCTCACTACGATGCAGCATTCTACTTTGCATTCTCCGAAATGAAGCAAAGAAGGGAAATAAAAAAAAATATTGTAGGACATTCTACTTTGCATTCCCTGAAATGAAGCAAAGAAGCGAAACAAATATAATATTGTAGGACATTCTACTTTGCATTCCCGGAAATGAAGTAAAGAAGCGAATTAAAAAATAAATATTATAGGACATTCTACTTTGCA